AGAATGCAGAATACCGTAACAGAAGAAAACAAAAGCAGCAGGAAGAAACGTACTGGCATTTGTACGTGGGCAATGGGCCAAAGAAAAAACAGAAATAAAAACAGTTATAATTAAATATATTAATTATTCTTAATACTCCCCCTCAAGATAGAAAATACAGATTTATCGTACCCATCTTGCTCAGCAAATTGGCGAATTGCACAGGATGAAGGACCTTTGTTATTATATCTGCTAGTTGATTTCGAGTGGATATGTGCATCGTCTTCACGGTACCATCTTGAATCTTCTCACGAACAAAATGACAATCAAATTCAATGTGTTTTATTCTTTCATGATACATTGGATTTGAAGCAATATGTAAAGCGGCTTGATTATCACAGTAAAGTAATGCAGGGCCTTGGTGTTGAACCTTTAAGTCACGTAACAGCTTCAGAATCCAAACAATTTCGCAAGTAGTGTTGGCCATGGAGCGATATTCGGCTTCAGCAGATGACCGAGAAACGACTTGTTGTTTCTTTGATTTCCATGAGATTAATGAAGACCCAAGGAAAACACAAAAACCAGTGATGGATCTTCTAGTATCCGGACATGTGGCCCAATCAGCATCAGAAAATGCCTTAATCTGAATGGCAGATGATGAAGGAAAGAAAAGACCTTGTCCAGGGGTCCTCTTGATGTACTGGAGAATCCGTAAGGCGGCTTGAAGGTGACTGGTTCTAGGAGCAGCCAGAAACTGACTCAATCTATTGACAGAGTAGCATATGTCAGGGCGAGAGATGATTAAATACAACAGTTTTCCAATTAGTCGCCGATAGCTGGTGATATCACTCAGGAGCTCGCCATCATCTTTAGACATCTTGATATTAGGATCCATAGGAATAGATGAGGATTTACAACCAAGATATCCAGTCTTAGTTAAGAGATTCAATGCATATTTTCTTTGGCACAAGGTGATTCCTGTGTCATTTCTTACAATTTTAAGTCCAAGAAAATATCAGAGAGTTCCCAAATCTTTCATTTTGAATTTTTGTCTGAGTGTACCTTTGAGTTCTTCGATAGTCTGATCGTCATTACTGGCAATAACAATGTTATCGACATACACCAACAATGCTAGGAAGGTTTTACCTTGTTGTCTGACAAATAGGGAATGGTTACATTATGACTGATAGAAGCTTTCTTGAAGCAATGTTCGTGAAAACTTATGAAACCACTGTCGGGAAGCGTGTTTCAACCCATAGATTGACCTATGGAGGCGGCAAACAGGTTGATGTGGAAAAGTCTCCCCCTCTCGAGGAGAATAGCTGGGAGGAATAGTCATATAAACTTTTTCGTGAAGGTCACCATGTAGAAAGGCGTTGGTGACGTCCAATTGAGTCAAGCGCCAACCATGGATAGCAGCAAGTGAAAGCAAAATCTTGACAGTAACCAATTTGGCAACAGGAGAAAAGGTGTCAAAA